GGTGTATATGTCTTGCGTGTGCATAAAATACGCACCTGAACGCTGTGTGTGCAGGTCTTGGGCAGGTGTGTCTGTGGGAAGCCCCAGTACTTACCTAGAGAGCCCGCAGCCTCCCCGGGCAGCAGAGGGTGCAGGAACCTCTGATCTCAGTCTAGGCTAGCTGGCAACTCAGTCCAGCTTATCTAATTTCAAAGCAAGAGCAAAAATAATCACCACCTGTTATTGCACCTGTAAAACTGTGCACCAGGGGGTGGGGTAGACAAGAGCAGAAGATGTGAACACTGGCCCTACCACTTAAGATGATTTAGATGGAGATTCTGAAAGCTGCTTAAATTTGCATGGTGGCCAGACCTCATGCTGAGACCCATGTGGGAACCCTGTCCTGCTCTTGGCCAACTATGTGACCTCAGGATAGCTATGTGCTCTTCTCTAGGTAAAGTGGGGGTGAAGGCCTAAGGAGTTCCACACATTGCATGTCCGCCCTGGGCAGGCACCAGGCGAGCGCAAATGCTCACTCTCAGGACTAGCCCAGAGAGGTGCAGTGACTTGAGCAGGGTCACAGCTCCCAGGTGGCCGAGCCAGAATGGAGTTCGGGCCTCCGGCGTGTTCCCCAAACTGCATTCCTTCCCTCCAGTTCCCCAGCAAGGGCGGCTCCCGACACCATTTTGTCTTCTTCCAGGGCGGGCGTCTGGCTGCCTGTCAGTCACCAGCTTCGGGAAGCCAAGTGCTGACTAAACAGCCCAGAGCAGGAGGGTGGAGCGAGGGGCTCCGCCGGCGAGCCGCTCCACGCCCCCTCCCCGCACCCCCACCTCCGGCATGAGCTCAGAGCGGCTGGCGCAGCAGTTGCTGACAACTCAAAACTTCTGCCCCTCTCCTGGGACGCCAGTGGGTGACTCTGAACAGCAGGCGTGACCAGAGGAGTCACCAAGTCCCTCCCGCCCCTCTCCCGGGGCCACCCCACTGTGTCTGCCGGGCGGAACTGGGTGTCTGCTCATAAATTACCCACGGGGACAGTTACCCGCAGCAGCTGTGCTCGCAACAACCGTTGCTTCCTGGGTAGGTCATTTTTTTGGGTCAGAACATAAACCCAGCCCCCCCTCCCCCCCCAGGCAGGAGAGGGGCTGTGTGGCGGCCTAAACCTTTTATCGGCTTCCATTGTAAATCGTTCTATTTAAGGTAAGTTGCTTGGGTCTGAGGCAGACAAGATGCCGGCCAGATGTGGGCAGGCGGCATCAGCATTCCGCCTGTGTGCTCTCCTGCCTGATGCGAGCCAGCAGCAGCTCCTCTCCTTCCTCCTACAGCACCCTCCCCCCCCATCAGCAGAGGGAGCGAGGGAGCCTGGGCATCCAGGCCTCTAGGTCCCCCAACTTCTCCTCCTAAACCAAACTGGTTTCCGGACTTCAAGCACACCTCCAGCACTGCCTCCCACCCCAGCCTCCGGCCCTTGGCGCCCACCCACCAGGGCCTCCCTCAGGAGCTCTGGCCACCACCTGTGGCCCCAATGCACCCCTCTAAGCACCTCCCCCATTAAACACACACACAGTAGAGGTGGCTGAGTGACTATAAAGACTTTATCAAATTATTTAAAATGTTGGCATTTTCATACTTGAATGTATACATAGTTTCCTGGAATTTTCGGGTCGCCTGGGTGCAAATGTGTGGTACACACCTGAACCTGGTGGGGAAGCAGGTGAGGTCAGGCTTGGAGCCACAGGGCTTTAAAAAGGACTGGAGAGGACGGAGGGAGGGAAGGGTCACTGCCGGCTAACCCCACCGCTCAGGTCTCCATGTGAAGCTCCTTTCCAGTCCTCAGGGAAGGGGTGCATCTTCAGACTGTGTCCCACTACATACACGCCCACTCCCTAAAATCTTGATGTGGCAAACACATCCAAGAGTCCTCTGGAACAAATCCTTATAAATATATTTATATCAGAGAAAACAAGGCACTTTGGGAGCATTACGGCTTACTCTCCTACATGCACATCATTCTAGACAGAAAGTAAAAATTGGTTAGTTTCTCAAGTGAGTCAACGGAGTAAAGTCAATACAAAACAGAACTGTTCCCTCACTGAGCGGGACAGTCTCAACGCTGGGCGACACCTGGGCCAGGGCGACTGGACCCCAGCAGAGCTGAAAGCTGTGTCCCTGGAAGCCCAACACCCCTCCTGAGCACTGCCGTGGTGCACAGCCCCCGCCCCCAGGACCCTGAGGGGGGCTGTGGTGGGAGCAGGCCAAGAGCAGAGCTGGGACACAGCGGGAATGCTTAAGCAGGGTCACCAAAGCCACAGAGACCTCAATCTGTCCAAGCCGGCGCTGCAGTCCGAGGATCGGCGCCACGGGAAGAGATTTCACATTAGCCCTGACAACACTGCCTCGGCTCCGAGGTGACATTGGCCAGGGTCATTTCTGAGGGCGCTAGAGCTTCCGCTGGAGGCAAGCTGGAGCTTGGGCCAGCTGCTCTGAGCCTCCGAGGGATCTCCGAGCCTGCCTCCTCCCTGAGGCTGCTCCTTTGGAATGTACTCATCTCACAACAGCGCGAAGCCACAGTCACTTCTGACACTGTCACTGGAAGCTGGGCCTGGGCCACAGGAATGGGGCAGGTCCCCTGGGCTGGGCAGACCAGGAAGGGAGGTGGCTCCTTGGCGCCAGCGCTCAGCGTCCTCAGGGGCCACTGTTTCATACTCTGACCGGCCTCAGCCCGGTTTAAATAATCACTAAACTTTGCATTCCACAATTAGAGAATTCCAAAAACACACAATTACCTGCATAGGGTCCTTTATCATTGTAAAGGGCTCTGAGTTTAAAGAAGCATTTTTTTTGGTGCACAAACGCGTAAGTTAAGCCCAGAGGGCCTCTCGGCTGACTGGGTCCCCAGCCCCCCAAGCTGAGGAGGCTTCGCAAGGCCGGCTGCTACAAAGCGCAGAGCTTGGCTGCATAGATTTTAATGAGAGCGTCAGGCAGAGCTGTGCTGTTGCTCTCCGGGACTTGCAGATCATTACCAAACCAGCTGTAGGATGAGAACACAGCACATCGAAACCCTAGGAGGTCACTGAGCTAATGATCTAATCCTACCTTCCGCAGGCAGCGCCCTCCCCACCTCCTCCTGCCCCCAGCCCTTTCCACTGCGGACTCTGTCCATTCCAGAAGCCAGGCCAACACCGCCCCCTTCAAGGTCAGAGCAGAATGAGAGCCATGGTGCTGGCTCCCCTTTTCTGGAAAGCAAGCAGGGGGGTGGGGTAATTTAGTCAAAGCCATTAGGCCCAAACCCTGGCCTGGCCAAACCCCAGGGCTCCTATTTGGGAGACCCGCGCCCTCTGTCTGCCTCTCTAGCCACTGCCGGGCTGCAGCTGGGGGCATCTCCGACAGCCATTTTGGGGTTCTGAAGACTGAGTACCTTCAGCTTCTTCAAAGGGGGGGGGGTAGAAGCAGGCAGGAGCACACACAGCCTGGTAGGCCCAGCACTGCAGCCTGTGCCAGCTCTGTGCCAGACACCTGATCTGGGGAGGGGGGCGGGCGCTGGAGCAGCCCCAGCGGGAGGGCATGCTGGCACCCACCCGCTCAGTCCCCAAGCCTGAGTTCAAGGAAAGAAGGCGGGGGGAAGTGTTCCGCCAGGGCACAGCAGCAGTACCCATGATTACACACTCTCCTCAAGCCGGAGGGGTTTACGAGGGCTTTGGCAATTACTACAACCATTTGCTGTGCAGGGTAGAGACAGATCCTGTTTCTCTTTGTTTCAGGGCTCTGAAAGGCAGAGAAGGCAGGAGAAGCCGGTTACAGCAGAAGAGGCTACACAATAGTTAGGGCAAAAGAGAAGAAATCTTACTGTTGGCCAAAGCTGACCAGTTTTTTCCTGAATAATAGCACCTGTGTATTAGCTGGGGGGGGGGGGGGGGGGGGGGGGGGGAGAGGGAGGGGGGTGCACCAAGGGAGGGACCATCACTGTGGGCAGTGAGGGGAGCTGGAAACAAGACCCAGAGTCCCTCTGCCTTTCAGCCCTCCTCACGGCTGCCAGGCCCCCCAGGCGGCTACCTGAGGCAGCTGCCAGCCTGAGGGACCGAAGTTTCTACAGTTGGCAGAACCTATGCTTAAATTGGGGAAATAAATGGGGAGGAGTTGTGGAGGAATTGAAAACAGCACCTGTCAAAGCTGCCGACCCCCTCCCTTCCCACAAGGGCAGCTCCCAAGGCCGCATGGTTCGTTGGTGATTGGAGAGGAGCAGCAAAGAGTTACAGGAAAGGCTACCAGGGTCTGAGCGACAGCACAGCTCCGGGCCCTCCGACGCGCCCCCTGTGGAGAAGGTGGAGGGCACAGACCCGAGGCTGTTCAGCCTGGAGTGCGGCGGCCACTATGTGGCCCCAGAAAGCACAGGTGGCCGGCAGCAGCAACTCTGGGCTCTAGCTCTGGCACCCAACTGTGACCTGGAGCCAGCCGCAGGGCGGGCAGGGCCCAAGGCACTCCACCATTCTTCCATCCTGCAGTCCTGAGTCTCGCCCTGGCCCCAGCAGAGGCCCCAGGCTTGTGTGCGGGGGGGGGG